TCTCTATAGAATACGAAAACACTGATGATAATCCATGTAAAGTAGTACTTTCAGAAAATAATTATGGTTGTGCCTGAGGAGCTGGATGAGGAGAAATTAGAGGTAAGATCAGACAGGAGACTATGGTTCTACACAAGGGTAGTGTGAGTAGGATATTAAACAGCTAAAACATTCTTTTTACGTTCTTTAAAACAAACTACCCCATCTTTAAATCTCTTTACAAAATTCTCCCATAAGAGAGAATGTGGATAGGGACTTCTGGTAAGATGGCAGAATAGGCAGAGAAGCTACACAGACCCTCTTCAACAAAGAAAAGATAAATTAATTGACAGAGATACAGAAGATAATCCTGGAGCCCTCGGCTTTGAAAGGAGTACACAGAAGTGGATCAGGGACCAACTAGTGGAAAACCTGAATGAAAACAGTGAGTATGGAGATGGACAGAGCTGCGACTATGAGCTACTCTGATGGCACCAACAGCCTGAATATTTCTAAGTGGTGTTGGGACCTGAGAATTGACCTAAACATCAGGCCTGATCACCAAGGGCTGCAGGGACGACAGCACTGGTGGCCTATGACTAGGAAGGGTAATAGCAAGGAGGGAGACAACCTGAGCTGTGGACTTTAAGCTGTCCAGAGGGCGCAGCCATTTTGGATATTTAAAGTGACAGCATTCTCATTCAGATTCCAGGAACCTAAGAATAGGCACCACTTGCCAGTGGTGGCAGAGACATAATGGGAGGATGACAACAGGACCAGAGATAGGTACTGAGTGTATAAGTGCTGCCAACTAGCAAACAGAGGAGCACAGTATCCTGCTTACATAGATAACATCCAAACAAAACAAAGAAAACAAAAATTGTGGGCAAGTCACTCCAACATACAATCACCAATTAAATATAAACACAAAAATGTTACAATGTCTCAGAGACAACAGAGCATCACAGTACACACAAAGGAGCAAGATAAAGCAAGAGAAACAAGGGACCAGGATAGAGACCCAGAACACATCCCTGAGGAAGAAGCAGCATTGGAACTCCCTGATAAGGAATTCAAAAAATTATGTTTAGGTACTTTCAATGGATTGAGAGACAGATCAAGGAAAACACTGAAAAAATGGAGGAAAACAGAGAAAACCATAGAACAATTTAGAAAGACAATACAAGAACAAAATGACAAAATAAATGAAAAATTAGAAG